CCGATCAGTATATATATAATATATGAGCTTGCTTCGCGAATCGACCTCTGTGTTCAACAGGAGTGAGTGAGTGAGTGTTTTGTTTTACGCCGCACTCAGCAATATGTGGGGTCGGTGAAGCGCTACTCCTCCGTGGCGTCCCCTTTGTAACTGGTGAGGCTCTAGCTCCTTCGCGGAGGTGGCCTGGGACTTCCTTAGCTGAAGCGTCTAGAATTCGATCAATATATGAGCGTTAGCTTCATACAGGGTGTGGTTCTTGCTGGTTCTGCATAAGTAGAGCCGAGTAGATCATCCTATCATCTTCAGAAGTCGTGTCACGAAATCTGGTGATAAGAATCTCATTGATCGTTCTAGATCTATTAATGCCAAGAACATACGCCTCTGGCGTTTGAACTGTTATGGCTTTATGGTAGGCTGTGTCCACATACTGTGGCACCGCAGCAATCGAGTCGATCGGAGGTAAGGTGATGGCGCCTGCCCTCGTCTTCCTTTATCAGGTATGTCTGCGCCGAGTTGCCACTCTTGGAAGGTGAAGAGATCTAGGTTGTTTACCATCCAATATCGTTATCTCAGCGCCTCTGAAAATGATGCCTCCATCATTTTCTATCCCAGCATCGCTGATGAGATGTTGCTGCTCTTCTGATGGTGGACTGTGTATTTCTATCTCTATGTCGGGTGACGCTCGGGGAGACCTGACTGTAGACTTGTGTGCAGACTTGTGTGGTGACCTGTGAGACGATCGACGTGGTGATGTACGAAGAGATCGGCGCGGTTAACGGCGCGGAGATCGTGTTGGTGATCTGCGTCTATGGGTTGACCTTCTCGGAGACCTGTGAGGAGAATGTTGATAGCTTCGCGAAGCTCTTGTGTAGTCAGGTGTCCTTCGCCGAAGGCCTTCGCGAAGGCCTTCGCTAAGCTTCCTCTGCGTCCGGTCCTGGGAACGGCGATTTGACCTTCGCCGAAGGCTTCCGTGAGGTCTGATGGTCTGAGTCCGCATCTAAGGATGAAGCCGAGGCAGGTGATGATCTATCCCCTTCGCCGAAGGCCTCGCGAAGGCTGTACATCTGGGTCCTTCGTGGAGGTGGTCTGCGACTTCCTTAAGGCGAAGGTGGCTTCGTCGTGGCTGTTACGCTGATGGGGGTGCCTCTGGGGTGTCGTCTGCGTTGGAACCTTCGCTGGCTCAGGCCTTGGGCTGGCTGCTTCCCAGTCTGTAGTGGCCCTCCATCATGATCATGATTTGCCGCAACAGTTCATCTGGGATGGTCTGCGACGAATTAGTCGGTGCCCTCTCTGCGATGTTAGCGGCGGGGCCCTCAGGGAAGTCGTCTGACGTCAGTGTAGAGACCTCAGGCTGCATGGCGATCTCTGCTGATGTCACTGTAGCTGTCTCCGGTCGCTTCTTGTGGCGTACGTCGGGGATGATGATCGGCTGATCATCGTAGAGGCCCAGTTCAGCGGCTGGAACAATCTCGGTTGAGAAAGTCCTAGTAGACTTCGTTGATTTCCCCTCAGAGGTCGGCGCTGCTGCCCTGGGGGTGCGAAGTCTGCGTTGAGTGTTGGTAGCGACGGGACCCTCAGGAAGATCATAGAATATCAGCGTTGGTACATCAGGCTGCATGTTGATCTGCGCTGACATCACTGTTGTCGACATCGGTCATTCTTTTGATGTACATCAGGTATGATGATCGGCTGATCATCATACAGGCCCAAATCTGCGACGGGAACAATCTCGGCTGAGAAAGTTCAAGTAGACTTCGTTGATTTCCCCTCAGAGGTCGCGTTGAGATGCAGTAGAAACCCTCTAGTCTTCGGCTGCGACGATGGGATGTCTGGGGAAGCAGGACGCTTCTTGGAGGCGGCGGACTACGTCCCACGCCTCTCCACCACTCTAGCGGAACACCAGACGGGAGGGGGGTCTACCAACAGCAGTAGACTGGCGAGGGTTTCAGGTGTATCAGTCATGGCTAGACTCTGCATACGCGACCTATCTGCTGCGCGTCTCAAACGCAAAGTAATTATTTATTAAAGGTAGAAAAGGATAAATTAGTACCGCAACTGCAACGTGAATAAAATGAACATGGCGCAGTACAACTAGGGCATATTAAATGCGGATCAGCAGCAGAATAAAAAACGTAATCTGCAACAGAACAGAATTTTTATCAACGTAATCCACTGAAACAAACACGGCGTCCCGTGAATAAACAGTAGAAACACGACTAAATATCAATATATAATTGTTGAAGGATACTAGCTAAACCTCTATAGATGTCTATACGAGGTAACTAACTAAATATAATCAAAGGATATAGTGTGTCGGGAGACACAGGCGCTCTCACGTCCAGCTCACTGGGCGAAGAAGGAGAGAGTGAGGCACATGGGTGGAGGTGGCGCCCTCGTTCCCGCGCTTGTGGAAGGGAGGTAACTCGTGCTGAGTACTAATTAGTGATTTTACATTGAAGGGAGCTTCAATTAGGGAGATACAAGTGTTCCACTATGTTCGCAAGAAGAAGAAGACAAGCAAAAAGAGCATGAGTCAGGATAAGGAAAAATACATACTCGTATTTCCGCCTCTTACGGAAACACCTGACAGTTAATGAGCAGAGGGGGTATCACGTGACATGACGTCATAAGTGCCTGTTGCTGATGGCTTCCTCTTTGATTTTACCTCACAACTTAACAGTGTCCATGGATTCTGAAGCAGTAAAAGATGTTCCTGATGTAATTTCTGAAATGGAGGTTAGACCGTATCAATACGATCCGATTTTACATCTTGCAAGACAATCTTCCACTGAAGATGAAGAAGAAGAATCAAGCGAAATGGAGGCACCGCTTGAGGTCAAAATAAATTTAAAAATAGATCATGTCATTTAACAAGATTACTATTTGTCAGCAAAATGTCATACAGTTCAAGCCAGCAAACTCACCCCTATAAATATATGACCAGTCACTAAGAATTATTTTTTTTTAAATGTGATTACTGTTCATTTTGTGTCAAATGGGTGACTGTAGGGTGTCTGGGATTTAAAAACAAAATAATTATGCTTCAGACAAGGGAAAATAAAACTAATCTGCTTCAAAAGTTACACTGGAATTATTTTGTTGAAAAAAATTAGGATCCTAGTTCTCATTAATAACGTATCAAGTCTCGATACAAGATCCCAGCCTGGTCGAGCAGAGATAATATTCGCGACGCAGATAAGTTATTCCCCGAAAACTGGTGAATTGTAAAATACTAGTCAGGACAACGTAAGTTTCGCCATTGTTTGGTTATGGAAATAGTTATGGTACTCGGTCATAGCCTTAGAATGACATCTTGTCAGCCAATGAGAATACAGAACAACTTTCACAGCACACACTACTGACAAATAGCGAGTCTGATGCCGACGTGCGTAATTGGACAAAATGGAATACAATGAAAGCAACAAGTACTTTATGATTGGATTGCCGTTGGATTTGGCAATGTTTCGAGTTGACTGCATCATTTAGGGCTCCAAACCGAAAAGAACGTTATAGCGAAACATTTTCAAGCTCATGTGAAATCTCTTACTGATCTTGATAACATGTATCTCATGTGTTACCAGTCGAACTGCCCCAGCTACAAAATGCCCCAGCAAATTTGGTCATTTATTCTAATTTGTTCAAATCTATTTATAATGATTGAATATATGCCGTAAATGCATAGTTTTTGTCAACTTATTATGATATTATGTTCTTCATATAAAAGTTATGAGGAAGTAATATTTCTAAAAAATGTTTCATTAGTAAACTCATAACTATGTATATACTTATTTATGAAGAACATAATATGAAAGTTGACAAAACTATGCATTTATGGCCTATATTTATTCATTTTAAATAAATTGGGGCATTTTGACTACCCCACTGGGGCAATTTGACCAAATTTGCTGGGTCATTTTGTAGCGGGGGCAATTCGACTGGCAATCGGACTTGATTTAATGTATGTTAAAATACCACTAACAGTAAGTTGTTACAGGGAATGATGGAGTATAAATGAATCTCGTGGGTACTTTTTCCTTCTTCAGCCTAGCTTGGGGATTTCCATACCCCATGAGTGCATGTCTCTTTCATATGCGTCCGACTCGGAATGATCGGCGCATTTCTCCTGCCGAAAATCTGTCATTTCACTTGGAAAAAGGAAGAAATGGTGGTTCTTTCCCATGTTCGATGATGCCGTGCATCCCCAGGCAACGCAATACACCATCATTCCATTTAAAAAAGCGACAGAAACAACACGATTTGTACTACTGTAGCTCTTGGTCTTTGGCAATATGGCGGACTCCAGGCACATTTGACGTCACGAGCGGAAAGGTCACGTGGGTTCCAGCGAAATATGCATAATGGCCAAAGCTGAGATTTACAGAAACTGTTTTCGCAATTAAAACATAATTATACATAATTTTTAATTGAAAATTTGGGAATATGTTTCTGATGACTTTCACCCAGCAAATTATTGCAATTCACTTGTATTCTCCTTTAATTTGAAAATCTGGCCAAAATTATAAAGGATAATAAACTGTAAAGGAGGCAATGAAGGAGAGAGTGACAAGAGCATGCCAGTGTTCAGGTCACAAGGGACACTTTGGCGGGAAAGGGGAGGCAACCTGCAGGTGAGTGATTTTACGTTTGCTTCACAGAACAAAGGGATTCAAGTTTCCACGTAACCGTTGAAAGGGAAAGGGAGATAAGCATATAGCATGAGTCAGGATAAGGAAAAATATGTGTTTAGAGACTTGACAACGTCAAACATGATATACACGTCAATGATGTCACACTTTCACCTATTACAAATCAAAGAGTCATTGAGGACTGCAGTGAAATACCTCCCAGCACTTTGAAACAAATGACGATGCTATTGTCAGATGTTCCTGTACACAGGATAATTCACTTACATATACAAATAATGCTGCTGCAAGTTGCAGCTGTGATGCCTCACTTACTCTCATCACGTGGGAATTATTGGATGTGTGAACAATTCATACCGTAACTTGTGAATGTTCTGCGCTGATTTTCAAACTGAAAGTCGCTGACATGAGCAGGTTCTGTGTAACCTGACAGCATGTTCCGATTGGATTGAAACTGTCGTGTCTTAAATGGGTGAGTAGGGCCAACCTAAAACAACAAAGGATCCTGAAACTGATGTTGCAAGTAGAACATTTTCATTGTAGATATATATCAAGCATACACAGTAAGAGCCAATAACATAATCTTTGTAAACAATTTGTCTAATTCAGTGTCATCTATGTTACTGTTTGACAGACATAAAGATGCATGAGCTCTAAAATGGGAAAACCATATCATATTAGAACAATAACAACATTACCTGGGGTGCATACATGTCTTCATATTTGAGGTTGTGCTTGACTTCCTTTACATCAATATCCAGTAGCCTGCTGTTTCCGTCATACTTGTAACAGAGAGAGAGAAGGAAGCTAGTGGCATGCTCAAGTTATGGACCAAGGCAACGCAATGATTGTTTCAGAATTTGTAATTAAGAACACAATTCTTGGACTCTTGTTTAATTCTTGTTGAGGACTTAATTTAAAAAGGATTGTTAAGAGTCAAATACTAAAGTAACACATCTCAAAGAGGTTTCTTAATTATTAAAATGTTCATATATATTAATTTCCTGAATAGCGAAACTTGAAAGACAAGTTTACCGATTTCCTTTAACCAATACAGGAATTATTCATGAAAAGAGGTACGAAAAATACGAGTGACCCATACCCTACTCACATCTAACCTTAAGGTGAAACAAAACTCCAACTTTCAAAGCATCAAAATATGTATCGGTTGATTCCCTGAGGAATACAAATTTGCTAATTACGGACTACATGTATAAATCTGACAGGTTTTACATGTATTTAACACTATTCTCTGTGCATTTCGCAAACTGACACATATCAGAGGATCAAAAAGCTGAGAAGCTTGTTTATCATAACAAAGGATATAATAATAATAATATAATAATAAATGTGAACTTATAATGCGCCTTTTCCATGCACAAGGCCCATGCTCAAAGCGCTAACAAAGTGGGTGGATAATATACATATACACAACGAGGGACTAGTAGCTAGTCATCATGCAGTGAAAACAGATGAGTCTTGAGAAGTCGTTTGAAGGAATTAAAGTCAACTGCTGATTTAATGGTGATAGGGAGAGAGTTCCAGAGTAGAGGGGCAGAGCAGGCAAAGGATTTCCTTCCAAAAGTTTGCAGTTTGAACCGAGGCACAGAGAGTAGGTTCAGATTCTGAGAACGGAGCTGTCTTTCTGGAGTGTATGGGGTAAGAAGTTCTTTCAAGTATTCTGGGCCTATGCCATTGAGGCATTTGTAGACAAAACACAATATTTTAAAGTCAATTCTTGATTTAACAGGCAGCCAGTGGAGGTTTTTCATGACAGGTGTTATGTGTGAGCGCTTTGAAGTTCTGCTTATGATTCGGAAGGCTGTATTTTGGACATTTTGCAATTTTGCAATTTTGCAATTTTGATATACAATAAAGAGGTACAGTAAAACTGACATCTATTTTTGTTGTTGACTAATGCATACAAGACATAATTTGTGAAGTTATTGGTGAACATCAGTTTTATGCACAGTAAAATAGTACACAAAATTCCTTTAGAGAGCACATTTTTCACAAATCTACCTGTGATTCAGTCAAAAGATTTCCAATAATATAACTTTAAAGAACTTTGATGCAATGATCGATTAAAAGTGTTATTTTAACAGAAATAATAGATACCACAATCAAGTTTAGCTGCAGCTTTTACCAAACATATTTAATTAAATAACAGTAATTTGGAATAGCTGATTGATATTGCCAAAACATTGGACTGTATGGAAGAGTTTGATTAGTTACCACGCGTTCAGCAAATGAATGAATACAAAATGCAAATATTGTAATTACATTCAAAGAAGGTAAAAGTATCCACACATTGGAACAATATCCCATAGATATCACACTGTACAGAGAAACATGTTTGATGTCATATGTCTTTGTAATATTATAATGTTTGAAAGTATCTAAAGCAGTTTTAGATATCATAACCTGTGTTTGTCTCATAACTGATTGTTTCAGCTGTTTGACATCAGTGTCATGTCTCATTGGTCAGCTGAGATAGCACACGTGAAATCTGTGTTCATGATAACAGTGGTTCTTAAAAACATTCAATTTAGTTACCGGTAGACAACAATGAAAATCAATCAACATATTGTTGGCTAATCCGTTCAACAAGTATGTTGCCCTTACATGGGTGCCTAAATTAATATGGGTGTATTCCTGCCTGCTTTCGAAAATCAAAACCTATAAACACTTTTGACAAATCCACTGTGCAAGATGACAATCATTCATATATTAGCGTTTCATTGGTTAATCCTTTGATTGCAGCTTTTTTGCTTTACTAACTCACCTGGTTATTTCTCACTTGCTGTGCAGCAAACACGCATTACATAACATGTAGTACATTCACAACATCAAACCTTTTTACAACCCAATCTTAGAATAAATAATTACACATGAGAAATGACAAATGCGAACCACTGATTGCTATATATCCTAGACACCTTCAGAGGCAAGGATTTTACTGAGTCAAGGTAATCCGAGTGCTGTTACCACCAATTATACTTGAAATAAAGGCATTAACAAAGCATCAAATGAATGACGACAAATGCACATGAATAGGGCTTATATGATAAAACATGGTTTGGTTTGGTTTGGTTTGGATGTTGTTTAATGCCGCACTCAACAATATTCCAGCTATATGGTGGCGGTCTGTAAATAATCGAGTCTGGAGCAGACAATACAATAATCAACAGCAATGAGCATCAATGTACGTTATTGATGACATGCGTCAACGAAGTCATTGAGCCTGACCATCCAAACCAGTTAGTTGCCTCTTACAACAAGCTTGGGTTACTGAAGACCAAATTCTAACCTGGATCTTCACATGGATGACAAGAAGGGAGTAGTAATTGTAGTATTGTATGCAGTTTGCCTAAAAAAGGTAGGAGTCATTGCTGTTTTGAGTACATTAACTGGACTTCATGATCCTACGCACATGAAATTGCTGTAAATGGTAATACATAGCTTACATAGACATTTACACACATATAAGAATTTGTAAGGTGACAGGTTTTTGTAATCATAATCCGATCAAATATGAGAATTGCCTGGTTTTCAATGAGGCACTCCCTAGCTCGTCTGAAACTCATATTGTTTGGTGGCTGACACTAAACAAGATCTGGTTATCATGCAATGGCATTAGCTGGACAAGTAAAAGCGGGAATTTTGTTTCCCTTTAAGGATGATAAAGGAAGTGTGATTAGCGGTAAAATGTTGTTTGCTGGGTGCAGTTTGCCGCTCTGTGATCCTTCAGGTTAGTTGTGTAAGGTTTAAGAAAAGTTACCTATAACTCTATCCTTAGCCTTTGAATCCCCTTTGCAATCAAGCACCCTTCCACAATCATCAGTGATAGGTACCCCTTTTTGATCTAACACAATTCTTAGAATGTGGCACCACTTGCTAATCAAATACCCCTCAATGATCCTAAGGCTTTTCCCAATGGGTTAGCTGTGGGCAAGGGTGCTGGTAACCAATCTCATTAAAATAATAAATCCTATGCCAATTTGACAAAACTGCATACTTTTATGAAGTGTTGGATTTTTTGGGGGAGACAGATAAACAATAGGGCGCTGATGACTTAATAAATGATAGCTTAATTTTTGTGATAGCAATCTTAATTCATTAGCCTATTTCAGCCGCAAGCTGGCAAAGCGAGTGCGATCTTCCTAATTCAAACACGAGGGTGTCCTACACCAAAATCATGAACGGGTGTGTAGTTGGAAAAAGGAAATGATCCTAAAACTTGGAAAGGGGGTCAAAGGGCTAAGTTAGCGTTATGGGTATCCCACTCCAACCAAAACATGCTGAAGGTCGGAAAGCCCAAAGGAACGCGACGTAACTATAAGCCCAAAGCAAAAAGCTGCAGGCCAGTTAATCAACTAAGTCTGGTACACTGTAGTGTTAACAAACCCCATAATGAGAACGCGCACGCACCAAAACGAATAGGAGTCTTATCAAGAAAACAGTTCAAAAGTTAATAACGAAGTATAGCCATTATCATGTTTTGGGTTTTGTTACCATGCGATGTTTATTACCTTAGGTGCAACAGCTGGAGCAGCATTTAGGGACACGATGAGATCAGACTTTTCTTTATTAATTAAGGGTTTCAAATGCATGTTAAAAACTTCTCGGTCGTTTTTACTTTCACCATCAGACGAATTTGTATCACTGCCATACTCCTGCAAGCCTAATATTGCCGCCATGTTGTCATAACGCAGTGTAAACGACCTATTACTGCGGAGCTACTAATCAATAGTTTCTTATCTATCAGTATGTTTTTATTATCATGGTAACTAAAACTGAGTTGGCTAATTCTTATCATTCTGGAATTATATTATATTAAGTTAATGGAGATCACCCTATTTTAAACTAGTGCCCGCACCTAAATCTCGTTACGAATGTGAGAATACGCGAGATGTCGCCATTTTGACACTTCCTATATCGAATATGATGCGATTATCGAGCATTATTTACAAGCCGTGTGAAAGCAATGTGACTTGTAAATACTAAACACAAAGGTGAGTGCCAAAGAAGAGCATAAACCACTATCATAGGCACAGTGCATAAGCAAATATTGGTGGGTATGTTGGAAAGGGGTGTGACCCTTTTGGCCTAATGCATATGCTAAAACCTTGGCTAGTCTGGATTTCCAATCTGAAATGCACATGGAATAATAGTCTTTCGCCAAATCTGTTTCAGGGACACTTTGCTCATCCTGTTAAGCCTTGTTATTAGAATTTTAATGTTACTGATGTATGTAAATGTAATGATTGGCAAAGTCAGCATTGCTAAACAGAGAACACTTACAGGCTGGTTTGACAAATGACAGCTAACGTAACACCACTTTACATGCTGTCCGGTTAAACAAGAGAGTTTTGTCTAATAGTATAGGACACAGGAAGGGAAAATAATTATGTTTCTTACAGTGAATTTCAGTGAAACAGATTGAATAGTTGTTCTTTCAGAAAAGCTGCATGTTGATCTTTTGAATATATCATTTCCTGTTGATATTCTACAGACGTCATTTTGATAATCTTTCGTAGGTCTAAAATAATTAATTATAATGCATTAATTGTTGTAATGATTTTGTTAAAAGAATAAAGGAAATAGCATTTTTGATGTAATAATGAGCCTGCCCATGATCCTCCCACACCCCTTTAACTAACATCTGTGAAAATGGAATGTATCATGGGACCCACTATTATCGCGGTGGTTAATGTTGATGCTATCAGGATTATGAACTTCTACTGACATTTGGCATTTTTTAACATGTTGAATAATCCTCCAGTGTTGCAAATTGGCAGCTCCAGTCTGATTCAGTATACTAACCCAAGTTAGTCTCTTGTTAAAGTTATCCTTTGAGAACTGCTACATGGAACATGACTGGATCACTCAAAGAAACGGACCAACTGCAATCAGTTTTACAAAGCACATCAGATTTTCTAACACTGCTCTGTAGGTTTAACACTCCCATTTGATGTGATGTGCTGATTTCAGGCTATTCAAAACGATGGCAGCTCGCTTCAGTGAGTGAAGGTAGTTTATTTCGTTACAAAAAAAGTCTGCATAGTTTGGAGTTTTGCTTGACTCCACATGTGAAAACAAACTTGTAATGCATTTCGAATATTTGGTTCATTTCTTGAGTGTGCTATCACACCATGCCAGTACTTTTAATGTGCACCATATAAACATTCTCTGTGCGAATGGTGCAAGGGCACATCCTAAAATGGACACTCTGCTCCCAACTACCAGGTATGCTTGTTTCTGTTGCATTGATTTATATACTTAGCTTATGACAGGAAAATGTGAGTTGAAATATGAAACACTAAGAGATATTTTGTCAGTGTAAGGTAAATACAAACAGAACAGGAACAACATGAAGCACTGGTGTAAATCCTTCCTGTTTCTGTGATCAACAGTTTGTGACTGTATGTAATAATGCACACCTTATTACACCTGTTCACACCTTATTACACCTGTTGATGGCAACCACCTTGAAAATGTGAATGTGACACATTACACAGTTATTTATACCTGGTTTTTTTTATGGTTGATGATGAAAATAATGTATCAGCACACATCGTGATGCTGATATGAAAAGTCTTGGTAACATTCTTTCATCCTTCCTTAACAAACCACATCCCCATCAATTATTGGTGAAATGTCTTCTTCCATTGATATGTGATAAAACATCATGGTGATGAAAATCATGAATAGCAAACACAACCATGGATGTAACAATCAAATTGTTTTTAATGCTGTGAAAAAATGTTTCAAAACTCTACCTTGTTAAATATTGAGACAAACATTAAGGTTTTCTGTATGTGTCACTTTTCAAATTTTGAAGTCATAATTTAGGAACATGCTATAGAGATGATGTCAACCATGTCCCATGCCATGTGGTTAGCCCAAGCATACATCTTCTGTTGCTCAGGGAAGAGTGTGTGTTACAAATAATTTTGCCTTTTGTGTTGCATATATATGAAAAGGAACAATATATATTTAGACCTGTTGGCTGATTGGGATAGTGTTTTCTAGTTTGGGCAGTGGCTACCTGTTGTTAACTTAGGTTATTATGAAACATACCCGTGAAGGTCCGGGTTAGAATATTGATCTTCAGTAACCCATGCTTGTCGTAAGAGGCAACTAATGGGATCGGGTGGTCAGGGTCACTGACTTGGTTGACACATGTCATCAGTTCCCAATTGCGCAGATCGATGCTCATGCTTTTGATCATTGGATTGTTTGGTCCAGACTTGATTATTTACAGACCGCCGTCATATAACTGGAATATTGCTGAGTGCGGCGTAAAACTAAACTCACTCACTATTATGAAACATACAACTTTATGGATGACAACTTCTTGTTTATTGCATAGAGCAACGTTTCAATGTAGATTATTATACTGTTATCAAGCTAAATAACGCTGAAGGGGTCGTCGTTGGCACAGGTACTACAGATATGTACCCAGGGGTGGAAATAACCCATTGCCCGACGTCCCGAGTCCAGTGTTTTTTTTCTGTCGGGCAAGCAAATTTGTATATCACAATGTACCGGTGTCAAAATTGACTTTCCAATGTTATTTATGTTGTTTGTTTTAAAAAATCAACAAGAAAACAGCCGGTATAGTGGAAACATTATCAGGGCAAGTGATTTTACATGTGCCACTGTACCGGAGTACACTAGCAATTTTAAAGTTATTTCCACCCCTGGTACCCCAGGTACGTTTCTGTATACAGACATGTACCCTAAACAAAGACAAACTACAGAAACGTACCTGGTACCCTAAACGACGGACGAGTCCATATTCCGCAACCCAAAATCGAAACCGTATGTAGTTGTTCCCGTTCAGCTGATTGCGAGTGGTGTATGTTGTGCACCGTGAAATATTCGTTACTGTGTGTGCTCTTATATAACGCAATCAAATGCATCTAATACAACAGTATGACAGTTCCGATAAAAAACTCCACAATGCAGAATGGAATCGTCCAAGGGTACGTTTCTGTATTCTGATTTTGGCTAGGGTACATTTCTGTATACAGAAACGTACATGGGCTACACATCTGTAGTACCTGTGCCGACAACGACCCTTTCAGCCTAAATAACGGTGTAAGAACCTTCATTGAAACTTCACTCCATGCAATAAACGAGAAGTTGTCACCCATAAAGATGGGTTCTTTTTTTTGACTCCCCAACTTCTAGATGCTGATCAAACAATTAGGTTACTAGTATTATGGTTACATACACTGTATATTGAAGGGGAAACCATAGGAACACCAATGTCTGGTTGGAAAATAAGGTTTCTATTTGGCAAGAACATTCTCAAAGAAATAAAGCTCCAAAACACAACATTGGGACAGCCATGAAGCATGTGACTTCAGGCAGTACAGAGGACGTGCCAGATTTGCCATTGTCTCAAACTCGGTTGTGAGCAGAAACACATTGTTTCTTAAAACCAAAAGCTATAAGCCGGTCTCAGTCCTAACTTTTTCCCTCCAGTAAACATGTTTGGGATGCGTTGTTGGCAGGTGTGTATGTCAAAATCCACACTCCACTCACAGTGAACTCTGCTCTCTATGACTATAGTGAACAACATGAGTCAAGGTGAAATTCTTGTGCCTTCAGGAATTCATATATGTCTGGCCAGTAGAGATTTTTTAAAATATATTTGTGATGTTAGCTGCAGAATGCAAGTATTGACTTTGTACCCTGACCTCTATAATAACCAAGTGCATCACTTTCTCATCACACCGACCATTTAGCCCAATAGAAGTGACTGCACACTCTCCAGCAGATATAATCATGTGGTTTCTGTTTGCAAGTAGCATGTTGTCCTTGGTGATTCTCATAGTCATGATTATTTCTTACCTGCTTTGAATATATTGAATACAATTTGCATACTTTGTCATTTGTCTGATCAGTGTTTCATCATAAATGTTTTTGTTATTTGAAATAACTTGATATGACTTAAATATTGTTCAAAATGTAAATCGACTCACTCACTCATTCCTAAGTAATAGCAATTAGAAAGCCCTATACAAATACCTGCTTGCCTGAAGTGACTCTACTTGTTCGTCATGTCTCAGTACAGGGCAGGAGCCATAAAAACAAGCAGAAGTCAAGCTTGCACACTGCAGTCGATGTCTCTCTGTCATTACTGTGGTTTGATTCCAACTTTTCTTTTTCAGACGTGAGCTACACAATATGTTTGTTTTCCGCTTTGTGTTGTGGAAGGTGCTCTTAGTAATATTCAGTCCATGAAAGCAGGATATGAACAACAAATCGTGGATCTGACAAACCAGTCACTGATATTTGTAACAATGTCCTACACTGTCTACAGTACAGAGGCATGCAAATCGTGGATCTGACAAACCAGTCACTGATATTTGTAACAATGTCCTACACTGTCTACAGTACAGAGGCATGCAAATCGTGGATCTGACAAACCAGTCACTGATATTTGTAACAATGCAAATCGAGGCATGGATCTGACAAACCAGTCACTGATATTTGTAACAATGTCCTGACAAACCAGTCACTGATATTTGTCTCTACTACAGTACAGTAGGCATGCAAACAGTACGTGGATCTGATCAAACCAGTCACTGATATTTGTAACAATGTCCTACACTGTCTACAGTACAGAGGCATGACAAAAACCAGTCACTGATATTTGTAACAATGTCCTACACTGTCTACAGTACAGAGTCAAACCAGTCACTGATATTTGTAACAATGTCCTACACTGTCTACAGTACAGAGGCATGCAAATCGTGGATCTGACAAACCAGTCACTGATATTTGTAACAATGTCCTACACTGTCCACAGTACAGAGGCATGCAAATCATGGATCTGACAAACCAGTCACTGTACAGAGGCATGCAATCTGACAAACCAGTCACTGATATTTGTAACGTCCTACACTGTCTACAGTACAGGGGCATGCAAATCTCGTGACAAACCAGTCACTGATATTTGTAACAATGTCCTACACTGTCTACAGTACAGAGGCATGCA